GTTCCCCATAAGCTCAGGGATGGACTGGAATGTGGTGGGAAGCCTTTGCATCCCTCCGGGGCTTGCAGTGGGGATGCCCTCAGTGGGGCAGGCATTCTGGGATAGGAGTGAGCCAGCCACGGCTCCAGCATAGAAATCTGCTGGAGCATAAATGGCAACAGCACTAATCCCTAAATGAGTTCTCCCTGGAAGCAACAGGGGGGGAATTTGGGGAGGGAGGGAGTCCCACTCCAGCTTTTCAGACACCTCCTTCGGCCAAGCCAGTGGCCAGAGCATCCCCTCCATCTCGGTCTCTGGAGCCAGAGCCATTCCCATCCCTGCTGGGGGATTGGGAAGGGGGATTGGGAAGGCAGATGACTCTCCTCCTGTGGTGCTGGAGATAAGCTGCCATATATTTTTTCATTTCTACAGGAGGATTTTAACCCACCTGGCAGGTTTAACCGTTGCCTCCCAGGCCTTCCCCTGAAACAGCGCTTGCCCTGAGGCAGATGGGAATGGGGGGAGGTGGAGACAGAAGGGGTTAATCGCCCACTGCCGCTGAGATTTAGCCGGAGAAACCCAGCCGGAGGACCCAGGCATCCCAGCTTAATCCTTACATCCTTACATTGCATCCCTGCCTGCCTGGTACGGGGGAGGGAGGGATGGTGGCCGTGGGTGATGGGCAGCTACTAATGCTCCTGTAATCTTCCAAATATTTGGAGGGATAACAATTGCAGGAGAGAGGATTTTAACGCTTTCCTGTGGAGGTTTGCTGGGCCATTGCTGCAAAGGGAATTGCTTTCCAAGGGGAATTGCTTTCCGGGCTTGCCATCCCTTGTGCCGAGGTTTGGGGTGATGGAGGGAGGGTGAGGCTGGGTCCCGGCTCCAGGGCTGCTCCCCATGGAGGGGGTGGGTGGGTTGTTTGGGATCATCGGTCGATCGTCAACCGAGTTGCAAGCGCTGGCTGCAAACATCTGCAGGTCACCCCCTGGGGAACAGATGCTGCAGATAATCCAGCTCAACCCCGGCAGATTAAAACGTGTGATGAGGGACTGGGAGAGAGAAGAAGCCCTCGGTGCCTATTCCCCTCCTCCCTTTTCCGCCTCGCTGCTCCCACCACACTCATCCTCAAGGCGTCAGGATTTGGCCCCACGGGTCGAGCCAAGAGCTGCTCCTCCTTGCCTTTCCCCCCCCCCAAAAAAACCATCTCGAGTACTGAAGGCTCCATCTCGAGTACTGAAGGCTCCAGCTGCCCCGTAACACCATGCCCCAGCAGTGTGAGACTGTGGGATGGTGACAGCCTGGGACTTCCAAAAAAAAAAAGAAAACAAACCCCAAAAGAGAGCTGGGAAGCAGGCACCCACCTCCAGCAGGAAGGAGGGAAGCCAGCAGATGGGAACCCCCTGTAGACGTCTGCCAGGGAGATGATGATGGCAGTCAGCGGAGCGCACACTCAAATATTTATTAGTTTGTCACTGCTGGGAGTTTTATTGCTCGTCTGAGTGCGGGACTGGAAATCCTGGCTGTGCAGGGCTCCTCTCCTGCTTTCCCATGCAAAAGCATCTCCTGTGCATGCTGCTCCTGTGGTCAGTGGACCAAAGTGTCACCTCGGGTGGGCAGAGCAGAGGTGGCCTCTCTGGAGGTGAGGGGGTTGCACCATTGGGAAAGTACTTTTATTTTTGGGGTGTTTTGCAGTTGGTGCCGGATAGTCAGGGCAGAAGGAGCAGCAGTTGTTCCTCCACATGGCACAAGCAGCCATGTTTTCCCCCCCTCCCTACTGATTGTGGACTTTTTGGGGGCCCCCCCGTGCGTGTTAGCCAAGTGAGAGGTTTCCCATGCGGCGGGTGGCCGGGCGTCGGGAAGGGGGATGAAAGGCTGGGTTGATGGCTTATGATAAATGTGCCCAGCATGATTCTCCTCCCTTTTCTTATCCAAAGTCTCCGTTGTTCCAGTGCCTTATTTCTTCCCCAGCTTGTTTAAATACTAGTGGCCATATCATGCTGGAGAAAAACGCCCTGCCCAGCTGCACATGCCTTTTTTTTTCAGCTGGATTTTTGGATGGAGAAATCATCCTCCCCATTGATTTGCTCCCATCCATGAGCCTGAGGGATCCGTGGGGCTGGGGTTCCATGGCATGGCCCCAGTTGTGAGTCTGCCACAAAAAAACCATCATCCTTTTCCCCCGTCTCCTGTTGGAGCTGATTTTTTGGCCCCATATCTCTCTTGGCCAGAAAAAAAGATCTCTCAGATGTTGTCAGTTTGCAGGATTTAAACTTTCCCAGCAGCCAGGATGGTCTTTGCTTTAAAGGTTCAGGTGTTTTGGGTTCAAACCTTAAATTGAGCAGATTTTTGTAGCCACCAAAAGCAGATGCTGTATCTGGCTGGGGACATCATTGTATTCTAACCACCCTCATCCCCAAAGCCACTGTGCCTCCATGAGAACAACCTTGAAGTGTTGAGCTTGAGATCCACAGCATTTATTTGGGCAGACCCTCCCTCTTGGAGCAGGGGCTCGGATGGGACCCAGCAGGTTTTTGGTACCTCCGGGGGTGTTTCACCCCCAAACCCTGTGCTGGAGGGCCAAGGTGGCTCCCATCACAGCCTGGAGCATCACCCATCCCACTGGAGATGATCACTGGTGAGTCACAAACCTGGCATTTTCATCCCCATCCAGCCATGACTCATCCCCTCCCCGCTCCCGGATCCTCTCAGATGACCTGAGGTCCTGTTTAGCGTCACCAAAGTGGCACTGAGGTGGAAGAAAACATGTCTTTGGTGTTGACTGCTGGAGGAGGACCTCTCCTTGGCCATGGTTTGGGATCAGGGACGTGCACTTCGGTGTGTCACCTCCATAGGGGAAGGACCTTCTGAAAACTGGCTTCGTTAGGGACATTGAGGCTTCGTGGGTCATTCTTATTAAACAAAACCCAGGAGCCACCCCTGCCCTGGGGATGGGTGGCCAGCAAGCCCCCAGGTGGATTTTTGGAGGGTGCCTGTGCCCTTTCCCAGCTGCCAAGTTCAGGTGTGACTTTGCAGGCTGCATGGCACAGGGATACAGGGAGCATCACTTCAGGGAGGTTTTCACACGAGCCCAGGAGTGAAGTTTTGTTGGCTGCCTCTGTTGCCAGTTAGATTATCTCCTGCCAGCCCTCTTTGCCAGGGAATTTAGATTTGTGGCATCGAAGCGGTTTTTGAAATAAACCAGCAAACGACCAACAAAACAACAAGTCAGCAGATGAAAAATTGAGTAGTAACTTAAAAAAAAAAATAAGAATAAAGATAAAGGATATTTGCCGGTGGGACACAGGCAAGAGGCTGCTCAACAGGAGAGGGGGAGCAGGAGCTGGGGCCTGAGGTGGGCACGGGAGGCAGTGTGGGACTGCTCAGGGTGAGGGGCTCACACCTCGGCATTCCCTGTCCCCCTGCCCGCCGCAGGGCCTAGGAAAATCACAGGTCTGCAAACAAGATGGGGGAGGAAACAACCAGCAGCACAGAGGTGGGGAAGAGCCAGCCAGAGAGAGAGAAATTAGCCCGGAGTTTAATTCATTGTTTCCAAAAGAGCAGTTAATGGATTATGACAAATGTCCTACCGCTCTCCCTTAGTGCTGTGTTAAATGGAAATGGAAAGTCAATTTTCCTAAATGGATTTTAAACGACTGACCTCGTGCATTTTTTTTTCCCCTCACTGATTTTTGCTCAGGAGGCAGCTTGGTCATCTTGTTTTCTTGATGCATCTGATTATATTTATTTTTTTCTTTTCTTCCTCCTCCTCCTCCTCGCATCTTGGGATTCTGATTCTCTCTGTGCAGCACCGTTCCTTGCCAAGGGTGATGAAGGGAGTGGGCTCCTTCCTTTTCCCTGCCAGCTCTGGAGATGTTATCGCGGGGCTGGGGATATTTACTGTTTTCCTGCACGCTGCAGTGCCTGGAGTTGAGAATCACAGCTCTGACTGAGGGAAGAGAGGAGGAGGAAAAGCTCATAACTCCTTTGGGTGTAAAGAAAAGCCTTGCGATGTGACCTGACTGCTAGTGAGATTCCCAGGAACAACAGGTTAAGCAGTAGCATCCCAGTGCACCACTGGGGATTTTTCTATTAGTCCTGGGATATTTGGGTTTGATCTTAATGGGTGAAATGTCTGGAAACAGGCTTCCTGCAGATGATGCTCAGCATCAGTCACAGCATCTTCCCAAGCTGTTGCTGGGGATGAGCCACCCTGAGGTTCCCATTCCTCAGGGATTATGTCCCTGTGTGAGCACTGAGGTGCTAACCCCTTTCCAAGACTTTTCTTGGCCTGGCCTGAGCACACCTGACCTCTTTTTCCTGTTATTTTTGCATTTAGATGGCTTTTGAAAGCAAAAAAAGCAGGAAGATGGAGGTCCCCAGGTCACTGAGCCCTAGTTTCTGGGGTGAGAGGGTGTGAATCCTGGTGGCACCTTTGGGTGATATTCTCTGGAGCTGGCTGGGCTGGAAGCAATTGCTCACCTGTTGTGTGATGCTGAAATCCGAGTGTTGACAGGGGTGTGGGATCCAAAACTCCTGAGCTCCACTGAGGATGTGGATCTCACACTGGATGTCTGAGATTTGTGCTGGGATAATGGTCAGCATTCCCAGCACTGAGCCCTGCCAGCATTTTCCCTGGGGCATACCCATGCATTCCTCAGGGCTGTGAGGAGGAGACCTGAGGTGGGGGACACCAGCCCCTGTGGAGCCTCTCAGTGTCCCCATCAGCATCCCTGGACCTGGGTTTGTCCTGCTTTTTCCCTCGTGGTGTCCTCTAGTGAGATCACCCAGGCTGTGGGCTCAGAGTGTGGGGCTGGTACCCAGGAAAAAACAGGATAAACTCCGCAGCTCTCTCAGTAGCAGGGATTTGATTTTCTGGTTTTGGGGGAGCCTCCAGCCTTCTTTTGCTTTTCCGAGCATCCTCAGCAAGGGCTGTTGGTGACACCACCATGTGCAGGGCACTCCTGGGGAAGGACAGGAAGGGATGAAGCGGTGTAAGCAGGAGATGCATTCCTGCTGGGATGGGACTAAGGGCACCTCCCCCCCCTCTGGCTCCCCTGGCAGGGCTGGAGTACAGCGATGTGCTGCCCGACTCCTTCCCCTCAGCGCCGGCAGAGACCCTCCCTCACTTCCTGCTGGAGCCACAGGACGCCTACATCGTGAAGAACAAGCCCGTGGAGCTCGTGTGCCATGCCAACCCTGCCACCCAGATCTACTTCAAGTGCAACGGGGAGTGGGTCAAGCAGGAAGACCACGTCACCAAGGAGAGCCTGGACGAGGTCACTGGTGAGCAAACCCACCTCAGCATCCCCCTGCCTCCCCTTCCCTCTCGTTTTTCCGGGTGCTTCTGCCTTTTTCCCTCATGCACAGCCAACCTGTTGAGGGCTCTCCTCCAGGCAGGACAACAGGTAGACTTTCCAGAGCACGGATGAAGGCACGATGGTGGTGCTGTGGTCACCACACCCCCTGGAAGCTTGGGGAACTCAGCCAGTCTGCTTGCACACTTACCCTTCTGCAGGACCTGGGCTTGTTAAATGGGATTTTAAAGGCAGCATGTTTAAATCCGATAAAAGAATGGAACAGCTTTCCTGCAAAGTGCCTAATCAACACGTAGGAGTCATTGCCAGGAGGGGTGGCAAAGGCTGGCAGCTTACTCAGGTTCGCAGAGGGATTAGGTGTTTAATGGGTAATGAGAGCAATTGCAGGTAGGATTTGAAATGCCTTTTGATGGCAAATGAGCTCTTCCCTGCCTCAGAGGATGTCAGCCTCTGGCTGCCTGGAACAGGGGGTAAGAAGGTGGTTCGAGCATTTTAGGGGGGGTTTTATTCCATGGGACTGGGCTCCGCAGAGCTGCTTGGTCCATGCCTTGAAACCTCCTGGCGTGAGAAGAAGGTTAGGAGTTGGATATATCGTGTGATCAAATAGATTTGCTAAAATTGGGATGCTTTAGCTCAGCTCCCATCTTTTCTGCGCCAGTTTTGGTACCCGTGGTCTGACCAGGGGTGGAGGAAAACAGTCACAGTTCCCACGTAACATCTGTTCTCTGCAAATCCCTGAGCATGTGGCATCTGGAGGGCTTTAAACCAAGGCAGCCCTTTTGAACTGCTGTGGTGTTGGCCCTGAGAAGTCAGGCTGGGCTTAGAGGAGAGACTTCATTAGCCTGGAGCCACAAGTACTTTTACAGAATCTCTCCTTGTCCCTGTGGTTTTTCCCACAGCCTTGCCCTTCCCTGGCATCTCTCTCTCTCCATCCTGCACTAGCCATGACCCGGTCTGTGCTTGGGCCCGTCCCTGAACCTGCTCTGCAAAAGGGAGATCATTTCTTTCCTCTGTGGCTCTTTGAGTCTGTCCTCCTAAAGCTGCTTCAGCTATTCCTGGAGTGTTCTTCTTCCAGAGGAAGGGTGGTCAGAGATGCCATCTCTGAAGGGCAAAGCTGTCCCCTTGCTTCTCCAGAGGCTGACAGGAGCAGGGGGCCACAGCATTTCTCTTTTCCAGGGTGCATCTCCACCTTCCAGCTCTTGCAGAGGCCAGAGTTGAAACCCTCACCACTCCAGGGCAGAGTCAGAGCTGGTCAATGACCGAGCAGCCTTTGCTGAGGGGTTTTGAATTTATTTATAACATCTGGCCACACTGGGTTGAGCCAAAGGTCCCTGTGCCCTGTGTATGGCAGTGGAGGATGCTCAGGGGAAGAGCACTGAACCAGGACAAGGAGGCAATGATGCAGCCTGCTCTGTTACCCTCCCAGCTTTCTGCCATCCATGATTAGGGACTCCCTGCTCTGGTGGCGGTATCTGAGCAGTGTAGTCCAGCCCTAGATGAATTCCCCACTCGTTAATTTGTCTGAATGCTGTTAGGACTCATTTCTCCTCTGGATCATCCCAGCACACTACAGCAGGGAGTTTCATGGCTTACTGATGTGCACTGTGGAAAAAAACCACTGTGTTTCGTAGGCTCATATAATCCCAGAATGGTTTGTGTTGGAAGAGACCTTAAAGGTCACGTAGTTCCATCCCCTGCCATGGGCAGACATCTTCCCCTAGATAGGTTGCTCCAAACCCCATCCAGCCTGGCTTGGAACACTCCCAGGAATGGAGCATCCATCTGGGAAACCTGTTGCAGGGGAAACTCCTTTGCCTTGGGCCCTCCCAGCAATCTGTGGAGGAAACAGCGTGCACCACCTCCATCCAGGCTTCAAAGATGATATTGCTGCTATCAGGGAACACACCAACAGTACCTTCAGTGTGGAGGTGATGCCGTGTGTGTAAAAGCTGCTGGCGTGGGCATCTCTGCCCGGCAGCTTCCCTGAGAAAAAAGGAGCTGGAACCAAAGTGGTTTAACATGCTAGAAAATCTGCATTTGCAGCGCCTGACCTTGGTCAGGAAAGCTGCTGCAAAGGGCACAGGGCAGAGCTGGGCACAAAGGCACAGGTTAACACGGTTAGTTTTTAAGTGTCCTCGGTTAAAAGCTTGGAAAAACGGACCTTTAAGAAGGAAAAAAAAAAGGAAAGGAACTTTTAGGATGATGTGTCTTGAATGAGCCCGGCTCAGTAATGCTCTGTGTGCGTCTGATCCAAAACATTTCATGTGGAAGAAAGCAAAAATAGGCCAAGTCAGGGAGGATAATTCAGCTGGGTGAGAAGGGCAGGGCAGGAAGAGCAGCCAGGTTTGGATGCCTGGGAGCCCTTACATAGTCACTCCTGTGAGCCTTGAGCTCAGCCTACAGTTTTGGGTAGTCATTGCTTTCAAGGGGACAGAAATACAGCATTTGCAGGATGCTCCCCACCTTTCCAAGGCTGCTCAACCCACCCCACTGGAGCTTTCCAGATAGACAAGATGTGATTGAACCATCTCCATCCTGGGTCCTTCTAAAAACCCTAAGTTTCCCAAAAGCACTTGGCCCAAATACCTTTTCTTTGGTTTGTTTTGTTGTTTTTTTGTTGTTGTTTTTTTTTTTCTTTCCCCCGAATAGTGACAAAATAAATTGTATTTCCTTGTCAGCTCTCCTGCAGGAAGGTGGCAGAGAGACAGTAATTGCTCCTCACAGCGCTGGGAGCGGGCTGTAACAAAATTACAGCTGGGGAGCGTGCGGCGCTCGATCGCCATGAAATTGAGGCCTTTTTAAAATAGAAACTGCGAATAAAAGGGCAGGTATTGCTTAAAATAAGCAAAAGTAAGCCCTGAGGCCCTCCTGCCCTTGGTGATGGCCACTGATGCTTCAGCATGTTCTGAACGTGGTGGTGTCACCTTTGCCACCACACATCCCCACCATGGCCAGATTGCCTTAAGATCTTCTATTTGTCTCGTTATGTTTGTATTTAAGTGGCACTGACAGAGATGGTTTCTCCCTGCAACAAAGCCTGGGAGGCATCCTTCAAACCCTGGCGGGGGGGGAAGGAGTCTGGGCAGGGATGTTGGTGACGTGGGAGAGAGCTGGTGGAGGAGGGCGATGCCTCTAGAAATGGTGGAGAGGTCCTGGTCCTGCTCAGTCAGACTGAGGAGGGACAAAACCAGACAATTCCACGGGATCCATTCCCCTGGCTTCAAATCCAGGTCACCCTCCGGAGGGAACAGTCCCCCTGATTTGCAGAGGTGCCATCCCCAGATGAGATACCCCTGTTCCCAAGCTTTGCACGTCCACCATCCCTCTCAGGTGCTGCCTCGGTCCCCCTCATCCCGGACGCTCCTGCCGAGCTGATGCCGTCCCTCTCTCCCCTTCCAGGGATGCTGGTGCGGAAGGTGCAGATCGAGGTCTCCCGGCAGCAGGTGGAGGAGCTCTTTGGCTTGGAGGATTACTGGTGCCAGTGCGTGGCCTGGAGCTCGGCGGGCACCACCAAGAGCCGCCGCGCCTACGTCCGCATAGCGTGTAAGTGCCCGGGACATGCCGTGCTTGCTCCCGCGGGGCTGCCCATCTCCAAAAGCTGGCTCCCTACTGAAGTCACTTTTTGATCACTCGGAATGACCCATCCTTGCTGGATGGCCCTGGTCTTCGCTCCCCATCCCAGCTCCAGCTTTGCTTCTGGGCGAGAGGCTGTGGCACTACCTGGGTTAATGCTGCAGTGCCCGTCAGCTCAGCTCTTCCCAGTGCTTTGTTATCCCTAATAACCCAAGGATAGCACCTTGCACGCTCTGCCTGAATCAGCGGCTCAGTGTCCCCGAAGTCCCTGCTGTCATATGTCACTTCTCTGAGCTGCTGTTTGGGGGTGTCAGCCTGACTAAGGGCGGGTTAATCAGGCTGTTCCCTCCCCAGTTTGCTCGATTAGCAAATGAGATGGCAAAGCCATGGGAGAACAGCCAGGATTCCCCAGCCCCAAATGGATTTTGCTATTAGAGGGCTAATAATCCCACGTGTTATCCAAAACGGAGAGGGCTGATGAATTGGCTAAAGGGTTTAGCTTGAACAGGGAAAATCATGGGATCAGAGGATCATGGAATGGTCTGGGTTAGAAGGGACCTTAAAACTCATCTCATTCCAACCCCCCCTGCCATGGTCAGGGACAGCTCCCACTAGACCAGCCTGCTCAAAGTCACGTCCAACCCGGCCTTGAACACGTGTTGTTTTTTCAGAGCAGATGAGGTGAAGTGAGGGTTAGGAAGACACGTTGAGAGGGCTGGAGCTGTAGCAGAGGATTGCAGCACCATCTAGTGATGCTTCTGCTCCTTCCAAGGCTCTGGAGCAGGACACAGCCATATTCCCCACATCCCGAGGGGCCTCTCCTTCCCCAAAACACTGTCCAGCCCCTTGCTGAGGAAGCCTGGCTTTTCCTCTGCAACCTTTCCTCACTGGAGTGCAATGGCCACATTTCCAGCAAGTCTGGGGATGTGGCTTAGCCAGGACCAACTAGGGCAGAGCTGAGCAACAAACCCCCTTAACCCTGAAATCTGGGAATTCTCTTGAATGTGATGTGGGAGCACTGATGTGGGAGCTGAACTGTTCTGCAAATCTCATTTTCCCCCTTCATGAAAAGAGGGTCCTGGAGCAAGGTCCAGAGGGGGAAGGAAATAGAGGGGATAAAGAAACAGTGGTCAAGCTGAGGTTTAGCCCCAAAAGGAAACGACAGGATGGGGTATAAGCTTGCAACAACATGAAGGAGGAAAGATACTGTCCTTGAGCACCACATGCTGCCCAAATGCATCCTGGAAAACATGATTCTCCAGCTCCTTCCTCCCAGGACACGTTTTGCTCTGGCTGTGCTATGCCAGAGGGATTTCCTGACTTGTGGACACTTGGTGCTGAGTTTTGGAGGTTGCCCACCAAAGTTTTGGAGGTTGCCCTGCTCCTGCAGCAGCGCTGGTAACCCCTGGCTTTTCCTTTCCCTCCCAGACCTACGAAAGAACTTTGACCAGGAGCCGCTGGGCAAGGAGGTCCCTCTGGAGCACGAGGTCCTGCTGCAGTGCCGCCCGCCCGAGGGGGTCCCACAGGCCGAGGTGAGTGGCTCCACAGCCCCAAGGAATGCCACCCTGGTGGCTGAGGTGTCCCCTCCCTTCCCAGGGCACGTCCTTGCACATGGCTTGTGGCCATGATGGATGGCCTCGTGCCGAGACCGTCAGCTCTCACTGTGCAGCAGAAAGGTTTATTTTGGGCAGTGGATCTCTTACTGTGACATCTAGTAACACACGTAACCTCAGCACCTGCTCAGAACACCTCCCTCACCCTTCCTGAGGTGCCCTTAACCCCTTTTAGAGGGAAAAATCTTCAGCCCAAGGAGTTGGCTGAAGGGGAGCAGTCACCAGTGGGAGCAGAGGGCAGCTGGGAAAGTCAGTATGGATGGGTTTCCTTGCCAAGGTGGTGGAGCTTTCCATGCCCACAGCTCTGTCAGCCCCTGGGAGCTGTGCATTGGTGGTAGCCACATCCTTGGCCCAAACAGCAGTTATGTGCTGTTTTTAAGGAGAAATAAATACAGTCAGAGGCAAGGTTGGCCAGTCATTGGTTGAGGTGCTGAGGACATCAGTGGTCTCGGTGATGGCTCACTCACTGTCCTCACCCACCCCTTCCTTTATTGCCAGGTGGAGTGGCTGAGGAACGAGGACGTCATCGACCCCTCCCAGGACACCAACTTCCTGATCACCATCGACCACAACCTCATCATCAAGCAGGCCCGGCTCCTGGACACTGCTAATTACACCTGCATGGCCAAGAACATCGTGGCCAAGCGCCGGAGCACCACGGCCGCTGTCATCGTCTATGGTACCAGCCCTTGCTTCAGGGAGGGGACCTTTGCTCTGGCCATGTCCCCAGGCCAAGGGGGAACACGGGAACTTTCTGGGAGTGGTAGGAGGGAATTAAATTAGTGCATGAAATCAAGTAATAACCAATATCTGCAGAACAGGATCCTCTTATAGCTTGCACAGCCTGTTAGGGGAGGTTCGGAGGTGTAGGGGTGGAGGTGTTTCCAAGCCTTCTCTGTTGGGTAGGAAGGTGGATGGAGGCTGGACCCAGACGGATTGTTTTGATTCTCAAAGCAGCTGAAAAGCTGTGTTTGGCTGAACTTGGCTATGAAACCAAGGATCTCCCTGGGGCCAGGCACAAAAATATTTTGCCAAGTGGAAAAAAGACCAAAGCTTTGTCCCAAAGGGCTTAACTAAAAGGCTTGAGCATCTTGGGCGTGAGGTGGGATACACGAGAAGGAGTCTTGTGATTTGCTTTTCGTGAGAAGGAGCTGTACAAGGGGGTCACAGATGTAAGAAGCCAAGGCTTAGCTGCTGTCCCTGCTGAACTGGGCTCTGGTGTCAGTGCTGTCCATCTCCTCCTGCAGTGAACGGTGGCTGGTCCACCTGGTCCGAGTGGTCTCCTTGCAACAACCGCTGTGGCCGGGGCTGGCAGAAGCGCACCCGGACCTGCACCAACCCCGCGCCGCTGAACGGCGGCTCCTTCTGCGACGGGCAGCCTTTCCAGAAAATCACCTGCACCACCCTCTGCCCAGGTAAGGCAGGTTCGCAACCTGGTGTGCCCACACTGCCCATGCCCCAGGTGGAATGGCCCAGCTCTGCTACCAGTGCATCCCAAAGAGATAGGGGCTCAGGAGACCCAGTCCAAAGCACCCACCTGGAGCACTGCGTCCAGCTCTGGGGTCCCCAGCATAGGAAGGACCTCTTGGAGCGAGTCCACCAAGATGGTGAGAGGGATGGAGCACTTCTGTGAGGAAAGGCTGAGAGAGTTGGGATTGTTCAGCCTGGAAAAGAGGATGCTTTGAGGGGACCTAATTGTGGCCTTCCAGTGCCTGAAGGGGCTGACAAGGAAGATAGAGAGAGACTATTTACAAGGGCCTAGACTGACAGGACAAGGGAGAATGGCTTCACTCTGAGAGAGAGTAGGTTTAGATATTGGGAAGGAATTCTTGCCTGTGAGGGTGGGGAGGCCCTGGCACAGGTTGCCCAGAGAAGCTGTGGCTGCCCCTGGATCCTTGGAAGTGTCCAAGGCCAGGTTGGACAGGGTTAGGAGCAACCTGGCCCAGCAGAAGGTGTCCCTGCCTACGGTAGGGGGTTGGAAAGAGATGATTTTTAACGTCTCTTCCAACGCAAACCAGTCTGTGATTCTACCCTATTTTAGTCTCAAAGAGCTGGGGGTATCTGCAGGGACACAACTGCCCTCCCCAGATGGCGGCAGGGCGGGATGCACTGGGATAACACTCCCCAAGGGAAGCCCCTTTGTGCTGCCAGCACCATCCTGGCACGGGGGAACGAGCCCCCGGGGCCGTGCCAGGGCTTTTACTGACGCTCCTGTGTTGGGTGTCCCGCAGTGGATGGCGCGTGGACGGAGTGGAGCAAGTGGTCGGCGTGCAGCACCGAGTGCACGCACTGGCGCAGCCGCGAGTGCGCCGCCCCGGCCCCCCGCAACGGCGGCAAGGACTGCAGCGGGGGGCTCCTGGACTCCAAAAACTGCACCGACGGGCTCTGCCTGCAGAGTGAGTACCCTGACGGGCAGGCGGGCACAGGCGCGTGGTGCCACTGGCCACGCTGCTCCGGCGCTCGGCCACGCTGTCGCTGGCTGCGCCTGCAAGCCGGTGGAGCAGCACCGCTGGCACCTGGGCTTCAGGTTGTGTCTTCAACAAGGTGTTTTCAAGCAGACTGACCCCTCCCGAAGCTAGTTCTCACCTGGAGGAAAGAAATCCTGGGGATTTTTGGTGGGATCTAAATGTCCCAATGGCATTGAGACCCTCAGCCCCTCTCTAGGTGTGGGGTCTTGGCTGAAATAAGGCTGGTTGTGGTTGGCGGGGGCAAAGCAGAAGGGGTTTCTCAGCCCCACCATGAAAACACCTGCCCTGGGTCGTTGCTGGGTAGGAGCTCTGGAGCTCCTGAGTGTTTAGGGAAGCAAACCAATAGTGAAGATAATGGTGCTGCTGTGCTGTGAGTGGGCACACTGAAGGCAGCCCAATGCTGCCACCTGCTGCTGTGTGACACCACTGTCCCCTTTAATGCCACCATGGCCAGATATTTCCAAAGTCCTGTTAGATAGGGACATGTGTCCCAGGGCCTGGCTGGGCGTGGGGATGCCCTTGTCACTGTGCTTCTGCCTTCCTTTTGGCATGCCCTGGGGTACAATGCTGATCTCCCACGCCCCCCAGGCTGGCTTCCCCCCACTTTCTGCTTCATCTCATGCCCATCATCACCTTCACCATTTTTTTTTTTCTAACTTTGTTTTCCTAACAGATAAAAGAGTTCTAAGCGAACCCAAAAGCCACCGTAAGTGCTCATTTCATGGCCATTTTTTTTTTCTGTTTGTTTCTTTGGTTTTGTTCTGTTGCATCTGTGGTTGGGCTCCTCAACAGCTGGGCAAGGACAGGGTGGGAAGAGGGAGCAACTAAAGCCCACCCCAAAACTCCTGTGTACTCCTCAGGATTGTCTCTATTAGGATGTGAGGGCTGATCATGAACCTGAGCTGCACAAATCTAAGGTTTCTGGGATCCTTGGTGCTCAGGTGAAGTTGGCATGAGCTGTGGCCAGGTGTCCTACAAAGGTTTGAGGGCTTCACCTCCATCTCATTCTCTGGCATCGCTCTTGACTTCTTGCTCTTAGAAAACACCCTCCATCCTCCTGCCAGCCTTTCCAGCAGGCCCAATACGCATCTTCCCCTTTGTTTCTGAGATGGTGGTAGGGTTTGGGGAGCGTTGGTGGGTCTTGACGTGCATTTCTCATGCTCCTTTTTTCACCTCCACTTCTTTAATCCCTCCCAGTGCTGGAGGCCACAGGTGACGTGGCCCTGTACGCCGGGCTGGTGGTGGCCATTTTCGTCTTCATCGTGATCCTCATGGCTGTGGGGGTGGTGGTGTACCGGAGGAGATGCCGGGATTTTGACACGGACATCACGGACTCATCAGCTGCTCTCACCGGAGGATTCCACCCTGTCAACTTCAAGACCTCCCGGCACGGTGAGAGCCACATTCCTGGGGGAATGTGCTGATTTCTGAAGGCCGAGGGCTCCGTGATGAGGGGAATCAGTGCAAAGCTTTGAGCAGCCTGCTCTAATGAAAGGTGTCCCTGCCCGTGGCAGAGGGGTTGGAACCAGGTAATCCTGGAAGTCCCTTCCAACCCAATCCATTTTAGGATTCTGTGATCTCCTCCACTCAAGCAGTGCTTTCCCAACCCCTTGTTTCCTCCGCTCTCTTCATCCCACCTGTGTTTCCTGTTCCCCCAGACAACTCCCAGCTGCTGCACCCCTCGATGCAGCCGGACCTGACGGCCAGTGCGGGGCTGTACCGCGGCCCCATGTACGCCCTGCAGGACTCCTCCGACAAGATCCCCATGACCAACTCGCCCCTGCTGGACCCCCTGCCCAACCTCAAGATCAAGGTGTACAACTCCTCCACCACCTCCTCCTCGCCGGGGCTGCACGACGGCACGGACCTGCTGGGGGGGGTCCCTGCCACCGGCACCTACCCGGGGGACACCGCCAGGGACGGGCACTTCGGGAACGTGCGGAGCAAAGCCCTGGGTTCCCAGCACCTCCTTGGCTTGCCCCGGGAGCACGGCTACAGCGCCAGCGGCACCTTTGGCTACCTGGGGGGAAGGCTCACCGTGCCAGGCACTGGTAAGCCCCGAGCTGGGAGGGGGGACTGTTTGGCTTCTGAACGATCAAGGGGTTGCTCTTGTCCTAGAAAACTTGCCTGCTGTGAGCAGCCTTTTGCTGTCCCAAAGCTGGCTCAGGGAAGAAAGGCAGAAAGCCATTCCCAAGCCAGGCTTGGAAGGCTAGAGGTCACAGCCTCCTTGGGTTTCACTTGGCCTTTCTCTGATATTGATCCAGGGCCAGCACCTTGCAAAAAGATCCAAAGATTAGGATTTTCATCCTCACGCATTGGCCTGGCTCATCCCTGCAAGTGGTGTAGCTGTGGGCCATCCCAGAGAAGCTGTGGCTGTCCCATCCGTGGAAGTGTCCAAGGCCAGGCTGGATGGGGCTCTGAGCAACCTCATCTAGTGAAAGGTTTTCCTGCCTGTGGCAAGGGGGTTGGAACAAAATGATCTTTAAGGTCCCTTCCAACCCAAAACGGTCCATGATTTTCTGATGTAGAAGTGTTTCTCTCTGGGCTGCCCTAGCTCCCTGCTGTCCTGGTGCTGTCTGGCCAGGGGGATGGGAGGGTGGTTTCTCCCTCTTTTTGTGACTACCAACACTTATGTGTTCCATTCCAGGGGTGAGCCTGCTGGTGCCCCACGGGGCCATCCCCCAGGGGAAGTTCTACGAGATGTACCTGGTCCTCAACAAGGCAGAGAGTGCCCTGTAAGTCACCCTGTGCCACCCGCGTGCCCGCTCCTTGTTGGCCACCATGGAGTTCCCTTTCCAACCAGTGTCCCCTCTCCCTCCCCAGCCTGCCCTCCGAGGGCACGCAGACGGTGCTGAGCCCGGCAGTGACCTGTGGGCCCACTGGCTTGCTCCTGTGCCGCCCCGTCGTCCTGACCATTCCCCACTGTGCCGACGTCAGCTCCTCAGATTGGATTTACCAGCTGAAAACACAGTCCCACCAGGGAAACTGGGAGGTAAGGTGGGAACCCAGCCCAGCGGCCACCAGAGACCGTCAGCCTTGAGGGACACAAGCCCTCGGGACCATGGGCTGACCCCCAGCCTTGATGTCCCATCTGTAGGAAGTTGTGACCCTGGATGAGGAGACCCTCAACACTCCCTGCTACTGCCAGCTGGAAGCCAAGTCCTGCCACATTTTGCTAGACCAGCTGGGCACCTACGTCTTCGTGGGAGAGTCCTACTCCAGGTCAGCCATCAAGAGGCTCCAGCTGGCCATCTTTGCCCCCACCGTTTGCACCTCCCTGGAGTACAGCCTCAAGGTCTACTGCTTGGAGGACACGCCAGATGCTCTGAAGGTAAATATCACCTTCCCAAAGCTGTTTGTGCTGGCAGCAAGATGCTGCCTGGTGCCTCTCAGGGTGGCCTGGCCCCAGGGAGCAGACAACCTGATGCAACTGCCTGCAAAGTGACCACAGTGAAATAATAAGGTGTTCACTGCTTTCCCTGTCCTTCTGCGCCTTCTCCGAAGTAAACAATGAGGGTGTTGCTTGTCTCCTCTGCTGGAACCCCTTCCTGCAGGCATTCCATGAGAGGTTGGGCTGCTCATGGGTGGGTTTTCTCTCTGCTGCACAGAAAGTTGTGATATACCTCAGTTTTCTATAGATCCTCTTATTCCTGCATGGATCTGTGTGTCTCCCCTCCTTCGGAGTGTTTTGTGGTATAGACACCATCCAGTGCAGCACAGGAAGCTGGAGTTTTGATGCTTTGGCTACCTGGACCACTGGTGTGGTGGCTGTGTGATTCCCTGTGACCTGTCCTGTGGATCCTGTCAGGATTGCTGTGGTGCCTCTAGATGGGGATGTAGGCAGCACTCTGGCTCCCAGAGTGTCTTTTTCTCCTAAAAGCTGCTGGTGTGATGGTGGGATGATGTTAAAGACAAATAGGGTGGCACCCTTCAAAGGAGTCCCTGACCCTTGTGTTGGACCTTTGCATCCTCTGAGGAGTACAGAGGCATTTACGGATGCTCACATTATAAAATTCAAGTTTTAGGTGAGGCTGGTGCATGAGATGAGTTGGCAAGTTCTGTTGCTGTGGCAAAAGCTGCTCTCCATGGCTCGTTGTTGCTGCTGGCTCTTCTTGGCAGCTCCTCTCCCTGCTCCATGCCTGGCTTTGGGCGTGGAGGTGGGCAGAGGAGCAGCCCCTGCCCTTCTCCTGGGTCTTCATGCTGCCTGTCCCGCTGCCCACAGGAGGTGCTGGAGCTGGAGAGGACACTGGGAGGGTACCTGCTGGAGGAGCCCAAGCCCCTGCCCTTCAAGGACAGCTACCACAACCTGCGTCTCTCCATCCACGACATCCCCCACGCCCTGTGGAGGAGCAAGCTGCTGGCCAAGTACCAGGTGAGGGGCTGAGGGGGCTCAGAATGGCAGCACCATCTTCAGCCAGGCACCACAGGGTTTGGGAGTGCCCTGCTTTTAGCTCCAGAGTTGTTTCCCAAAGGGATGGGGGAGGAAGGGGGACTGGCTTTCTGGTCTTTTTGGAGGGATGCTCACTGTGGGGTCCCATCTTGTCCCTTGTGGGGTGGCTGGAGGAGGTGGGATCTCCCAGGGGAGCTGCTGGAGCCTTGGCTGAGCCCGTGCTTTGGTGGCCTGCAGGAAATCCCCTTCTATCACATCTGGAGCGGCAGCCAGCGAGCCCTGCACTGCACCTTCACCCTGGAGAGGTACAGCCAGGCCTCCACCGAGCTCACCTGCAAGATCTGCGTCCGGCAGGTGGAAGGGGAAGGGCAGATCTTCCAGCTGCACATCACGCTGGGAGAGGTGAGCGCTGGGGCGGTGGGGGAATCACAGGGAGGGGACACGCTCGGGCATTTCAGCTCTGTGCTGCAACATCTCTCCCTGTCCTTCCCCTTGCAGCACTCCAGCTCCTTCGACACCCTCCGCTCCCACCACAGTGGTGCCACCCCCACCACCCAGGTGGGACCCTACGCCTTCAAAATCCCCCTCTCCATCCGGCAGAAGATCTGCAACAGCCTGGATGCTCCCAGCTCCAGGGGAAACGACTGGAGACTTCTCGCCCAGAAGCTCTCCATGGACCGGTGGGTGTCCCTGTGCTTTGTTTTCCACTGCTGTGCCCCAGGCAGGGGGGCTTCACTCTGTGCTCCCTCTGTGGTGCAGGCCCCAGTGAGGTTATGTCCAGCTCAATAGGTACAACCAAAAATATGGATATAGTTCTGCATAGTTATATCCATCTCTATCCATGGATACAGTTTTAAATTAAAAGAGGAGAGCTTTAAATGAGATATTGGGAAGGAATTCTTCCCTGTGAGGATGGGGAGGCCCTGGCACAGGTTGCCCAGAGAAGCTGTGGCTGCCCCTGGATCCCTGGAAGTGTCCAAGGCCAGGTTGGACGGGGCTTGGAGCAACCTGGGCTAGTGGAAGGTGTCCCTGCCCATGGCAGGGGGTGGAATTAGATGATCTTTAAGATCTCTTCCAACCCAAACCATTCTGAGATCCATCTGTGGGTCTCTTGGCACTTGGAATGGCCCTGGGACCAGGGCAGTCCTGTTCCTGCTTGGGTTCACCCTTAGGACTGAAGGGAGGGAGGATAGTCTCAGCAAAACAAAGCTTACATTGCTTTTGCATGAATGTCAGCTCTGTGTAAAAGTCGAAGATGGCATCTTGAGGGCTTTGGCATTTGTGTGATGGCATTCTTGCCACGGTTCATGTTGCAAACAGGTTTGCTGCTCTGGCATCCTCCCTCCTTCCACCCCCGAAGGGCTCCACACCAACCTCTGCTTCTCCTCCTCAGGTATCTGAACTACTTTGCCACCAAAGCCAGCCCCACCGGGGTGCTCCTGGACTTGTGGGAAGCCGAGCACCAGGACGATGGTGACCTCAACACCCTGGCCAGTGCCTTAGAGGAGATGGGCAAGAGCGAGATGCTGGTGGTCATGGCCACGGAGGGGGACTGCTGATGATGCTCCCACAGCTGGTGGGCCAGGAGGATGAAACAGGGGGTGAGGAGGGGTCCTTCCCCAACGGCTGGGGGTGGGAGGCACGTCCATCCTGAGCAAGGAAGGGCAGAGGCCGTCACTCCTCCTCCCTCCCACATCACTGTCAGCCTTAGAGACCCGTCCTCAGCGTTTACAAGCAATCCAAGTGTTACGCAGCATTCCTCTTCCTCCTCCTCATGGCACGGGGAGGAATTAGGGCTTCTTGAGTTGGGATGGGGGCTTTCCTTTTCCTTCTTCTTTTGGGTTCCCCTCCTCCTCCTTTAATAGCATTTCTGCGTTGAAGAGGCGAGTTCAATCCAGGCGAACGGCTTAACTCCTGTCAAAGGCTTCAGGCAGCTTAACGAGGCAAATAAGAAAGAAAAAAAAAAGGAAAAAAAAAAAGTTTCTTAGGAAACGCAAATAATTTATTATCCAGATCTTTGGATGTGTCCTTTTTAAAAAAAAAAAAAAAAAAAAAAAAAAGGCAGATTTATAAATTTTTTGGTTTTTTTTTTTTTTTTTGGTGCGCGAGAGCAAGAGCGTTGCTGTGGTCAGGGTGGCAGAGAGATTTCAATGGACACACTTTTGTAGGGAAAAGTGTGTGATCCAAGTCAAGCAAACCATGTTTACATGTCCTGGGACCCCCAGGGCGTCCGTAGGGTGAAGTGCCTCTCCGCCCCTCTGGTTCAGGGCCAGCTCGGACTCTTCCCAAGGTTTTTTCCCTTGCAAACTCTCCTTTCCCTGGCTGCAGTGCCCAGTGGATCGAGGGTCTCCCTTTCAACTGTGAGGAGGGATGAGGGATGCTGCCCTGTATTTGGGGTTCAGGGTGGGGAGAGTGCATCCAGATATGGGTATTTTTAATGAATTCTTCCCTGGCATTGTTTGGGGGAGCTTTTTAGGATGACTGCGCCTTCATTTGTGTAACTTCAGTACAAACCAAAGATTTCAGTTCCTGCACCAACCTACGGACCCCAAGGCCAAAGCAGGGGGTGTTTTAAACCCAGCAGGATTTTTCAGTGAACACTCCAAACCTGGGCCGGGGGGTCAGAGGGAGGTGAGGAGTGGCTTGTGGAAGGATCCAGGGAGAGCAGAGGGCTGATGGGCTGGGATGTGGCCTCATCTCGGGTCCATGTGCTCATCCCCGGTTTTTGATGCAGTATTTCAGGAGGGATTCAGGGAGGAATACCTCAGCATCCCCAAGCTGTGAGCCAGGCTGAGCATTTCCACATGAGGGACAGCATCGTGAGCAGTGATCAGGTTTCCATCCCTCATTGCAGCTCCTGTTTTTCCCTTTAACAGGCTTTTTGTAACGATGGGGAAATTGGGGAGCGAATGGAAAGTAATCAAGGGGTAGGCAGGAACCAGGTTCCTCACACAGATACGGTGTCTTGATGAAGGTAAAAATTTAGGTTGCCTGCAGATAGAAAAATAGTTACTCAGAGAGTGCTGTATCTTAGAAATTTGTCTATTTTAAAGAAAAAAATAGAGGAAGGGGGTGGTAAGCTCAGGATTAGGCTAGGTCACACGGCAAGGCTGTGGATTCTCCGTCAGTGGAAGTATTAGGAGCAGGTCCTGCTTTGGGCTGCAACGTGCAGTGTCCTGGCTGCAGAGCCCTGGCCCAGTGCCACGGGGTGCCTGTGTCATCCCACAGTGTGCTGGGGACTGGAGCACGCTCAGGGAGCCCTGGAGAGCATCACCTGCACAGGGCAGCTCGGGGAGAGCTTTCAGTATTGCTGGGGCACGATAGGATTCCTCTGGGCGGCTCTTGGAGCCATGATGGAACACGTAGAGCCACTCCCTGTTGCGTTTCGGGATCTTTGGGCTTGTTGCTGGGTTTTCAAGGCTGTGGGAGAGAAGGGATCTTTTCCACTTGTGCCGGATGGGAAGACTGCTGCTGGGTGAGCTCCTGTGTCACATGGGAAGGGTTATATCCTTCCTGTAGCTTGCATTTGAGCATTTCTGAGACCCTGTCTCTGAGCTAAGGAGGAATAAGCAAATTTGGAAAGAAATGAAGACTTGATGGATAAAACCAACTGCTGGTGGTTTGGAGGGCTCCTTTCTCACTTCCACGGTGTTCTCTGTGAGATGAGATACTCCTTCAGGTTGCCTCTGAATCTCTCTCGCTCCCATTCTCGCTGTCTCTCGTTTATGGATCACTGCACTGGCTCGTGTGTCTGTCCATCCGTTCGTCCATCCGTCCCGCCCGCGGGTGCCTCTGGCTCCATCCCCATCCATTGCATTCATCTTCCCCCTTCCCTTTGGCAGGCAGCAGCCACCTGGCCCAGCTGTGTTTGGGGAGGTTCTCCCCATTCTCCAGACCAGGGAACCTGTGCTGGGAGTGGGGCAGGAGGGAGGCAGGGTTTGCCCCCCACCCTGGTCCCCTGAGCACAAGGGTGCAGCTCCCACGCCTCCCACCACACCCAGGGGTTTCTCCAGCCAGGCCTTTTGGCAAAGGCAGCCCCATGGTCCATGTTGGGCTGGCAGTGTCCATCTCTTGCTCCGCAGTCTGTTTCCATATTTATATGTCCGGGGGATGGGCCTGGTGGCATCCTCTGAAACCGTGTCTGTTTATTCTGTAAACTAAAGAACTGTAAATAAAGTTTAGCATTCCTATTGTAACAAATTAATTTTTATGCAATAAATTATATTTCCTAGTCTAATTAAAAAAAAAAAAAAAAAGAAAAAGAAGCAATCTGCTCCTTTCCTTTTCATCACTCACTGCTGGTTCCTGTGGGATTTAGCACCTGCAGGGATTCAGCTCTGGCAGCATTGGCAGTGTGGGGATCCCTGTGAGCATCCCTCCAGTCTGTTTTTGGCTGGGATGCCACAGGCGTGCCAGTGGGAGGATGTTGCTGTCGGAGTCCCTGATGGAGATGAGCTGGAGATGGATTGATGGATTGTTTCAGACCCACTTGGGTGATTGCAAGGTGGGAGCCGAGTGCTACAGCCGAGTCTCTTCTCTAAGCCACCTTCTCCAGCAGTTCATTCCCTTCCCCGAGGGATATCCTGCAGAAAACAATGCTCTTTCCAGCAATGACCAGGACCAGGGTGGCTAATTTGGGAAGGGGGAATAGAGCACGGAGCTGCAATCTGCAGTTTGGACATCCTGTCCTCCAGCATCCCCCATTGCTTCCTGCCTTGCTTAGGGACTAACACTGCTCCTCTGCTTCAATTCCAGCAAGGAAACGAAGCCAGAAGGGTTTGCAGGGGAACACGAGGGTCCCGCTGAGCCTGCCTGGGCCACTCACTTTGTCCAGCTTGTCGGGACCAGGTGCCACCAGGAGATGGCATGGTTGTCCCTGCTCTGGGCAGGCATGGAGATTCTGCAACTAGTGAAAGAAAAGGGAAGTGCTGCCCTGACACGGCAGCACTTACAATGTAGCCATGCAAAAGTGCCAAACCCTCCCAGCTGGGCTTTCCAGCTCCGGATAGGGTGCTGAGGCAAATGCCTTCTCAGGAGAGGTAAGCTATTCAAAGAATCATAGAATGGTCTAGATTGGAAGGGACTTTAAAGATCATCTTGTTCCTCCCCCCTGCCATGGGCAGGGACACCTTCCACTAGCCCAGGTTGCTCCAAGTTCTGTCCAAGTTGGCCTTGGACACTTCCAGGGATGGGGCAGCCACAGCTTCTCTGGGCAATCTGTCCCAGGGCCTCACCACCTGCACAACCAAGAAATTTCTTTCTAATATTCAAACTAACCCTGCCCGTTGTCAGTTTAAAGCCATTCTCCCTTGTCCCTTTCTTTACACCTGAATTCCTTTAACCTCAATCTCCCAAGTTGCTTTCCTTGGGCACCTTTTCCACTAAACCATTTCTCCAAGGGCCCAAATCCATGGATAGCTTTGACCGACTGGTGCCTGATTTCATCCCTTGTTCCCTTATGGAAATACCCAGCTTGCTCGATCCCCTTAAAATTCAGCTGATACCTTGACCCCAGTCCCCATGACAGGTTCAAAATCGACAGTTGTCCCATTGCTAAGCATTGACAGATTTATTCTGCGGGACAGAGGACATGCAGGAGCAGCAGAGCAGCACAGGGGTGTCCCTAAAACCTGCCCCCAGCCCGTGTGGGGGGCTGCGTTGCTGTGCAGGGTCTCTGGAGTGTGGGTAATGTTTTCTGGAGGGGCCGTGGTGGCTCTGGCCCAGCGTGGCCTGGCTTTGTCCCCCCTGCTGGGCTGTCACAGTCCCCTGTGCTGATGTGATCCAAGGCTCTGCTCCAGCAGTGGGTTTTTGGACGTGATGGATGGCAGCAGGTCAGAAATATCAGGCAAATCCCTCAGAGCTGATGAGCTACTGACTCGGATAGGCCGTGCCATCTCCTCAGGTGCTTTCCCAGGCTGGCATGTCAATGCAGATGAAAATCCCAAGGAGAAACCTCTGGAGAGAAACCCGTGCGCTCCTCTCAAGCCTTTCCATTTCAGCACATCGCCAGTGGGTGTGTTGGTTGCGTGCTTCTGCTTGTTTTGCTCACAAAAGAGGGAAAAAACATGGGATCCTGCGTGTGTCTGAGGTTATTTTGACATCGGGGTGGCCAAGGCCACCTGACCTGCTCTCTTCACAGGCTCACAGGCTGGAGCTGTGTGGTGGCCAGCTGTGCTTGCACTGGTGCTACTGGGAGATATCTGGGTCCCTCTGCATTTCTCCCATAGGCAGCTGCAGGTGGAAAAAAATCCAGACTAGACCTTTTTGGGGTCTTCTGCAGAAAAGTGGAGAGCATTTTGCCTTGATGAAGAAAGGCTGGAAGAAGGGCTTTTTCCTTCAGTGGAGGAAAAAGCAAGGAAGAGACACAGGTTGGTTATCTTTACCTTAGGGACTGGAGTTGGGGAAGGCTAAGGGCAAACACCTGGCAACAGGAAACAGATGATGTAAAACCCCTCTAATGTATTTGCCCACACAAATACAAATGAATTGGCAAAGCCTGTCTGATGGTTACAGTGGGGTTACAGAAAAACTGGGGCCCCACCAGTTT